ATCAATTTTTATTATATAAATCTACTAGAATTCAATTATTTAAACACAAAAATAAATAATTTACTATGAATATTTGAATGTTTCTTCAATTCCCATAAAGAAATAAAAACAATAAATAATATAAAAAAAATCAGCAATTAAACTTTCTCAAAAAATTAATTCCACAGAATTGTTAGGTTTAATAAAATTTTCACGAATAATTACATTCTTCGAAGACTTCGATTAAAATTGTATTAAAGAAAATTGAAATTCTGCAATGAGTTTAATTATTTATGAAAATAATTGAATTCCTAAAAAGAATTTTATTATTTACGAAAATAATTGAAACAATGTGAAAGTTTTATATTATTTTATGAAAATAATTGAATTTTTGACAAGAATTTTACAATTTATACAAATAATTGAATTTTGTTTCGAAGAATTTTATCAGAATTGTTGAAAATAATTGAATTTATATATTAAAATTCTTGAAAATAATTAAATTTAAAATATATAAATAAATTTGTGTGAAGAAATTCATAAAAAATCTGTGAATAATTAAATTCCTATAAAATTTTTATTATTGTATAAAAATAATTAAAGGTATGCGTAGAATTTTATTATATTTTTTAAAAATAATTAAATTCTTTTGCGAAAAATTTTATTAAAATAGTAAATATTAAAAATCATTGAATTCAGGAAAATTTTTGAAAATAATTGAAATTTTGAGAATAATTTTATTAAAATTTTTGAAAATAATTGAATTTCGGAGAAGAATTTAAGTATTTCTAAAGATAATTGAAATTTTGCAGATTTTATTTTATCAACATTTTTTTTTTTTTTTAAGAATTGAATTCTTTTGGAAAATTTTGACAAGAATTTTATTAAAATTTTAAAAATAATTGAATTTTGCAAAAGAATTTAATTAAAATTCCTAAAAATAATTGAATTTTGCTATTCATTTATAAAGATAATTGAAATGTTGAGGCCAATTTTTTTTAAGATTTTTTGAAAATAATTGAATTTCTCGGAAAAATGTTATTAGTTTTAAAAATAATTGAATTCTTGTCATAAATATTGTTATTTTTAAGAATAATTGAATTTTGCAATGAGTTTTATTTAAATTCTTAAAAATAATTGAATTTTTGCCAGGAATACTATTGTTTATAAAAGTAATTGAAATGTTGACAACAATTTTTTTTTTAGATTTTTTGTAAATAATTGATTTTTTGCGAAGAATGTTATTATCTTTAAAAATAATTGAATTCTTGTGATGAATATTCTTATTTTTGAAAATAATTGAATTTTTGCCATGAATTTTATTAAAATTTTTGAAAATAATTGAATTTTACAATGAATTTTATTGAAATTCCTAAAAATAATTGGATTTTTTCGAAGAATTTTGCTATTTATTTATAAAGATAGTTAAAATGTTGACGACAATTATTTTTTAGATTTTTTTTTAAATAATTGAATTTCTGCGAAGAATGTTGGTAATTTTAAAAATAATTGTAGTCTTGTGATGAATATTTTTATTTTTGAAAATAATTGAATTTTGCAATAAATTTTATTAAAATTCTTGGAAATAATAGAATTTTTGCCATGAATACTATTGTTAATGAAAATAATTGAAATTTTGACGAGAATTTCATTAAATTTTTTAGAAATAATTGAATTTTTTCGAAGAATATATTATTAATTTAAAAAATAATTGAATTTCTACTAAGAATTTTATTACTTTTGAAAATAATTGAATTTATGACAAATTTTTTTAAAAAAATGACTTTTACGTACCTTTACGGGACTTACAGACCTTGTTCGAGCCCTGAAAAAATAAAAATATTTCAATTTAGAAAATCGAATTTTTAATTTAGAAATTAGTAAACAGAAGCAAGGTTCGAAATTCGAATAAAGTGTATTTAAAAATTAAAACATACATAAAGGGGAAGAGAAAAATGTTTGGATTAAAAAAAAAAAAAAAAATGGTTATTTGATCCATAATTACTTAGCTATTGACAGTGATGAATCTATAAAGGGCAAATTGAACGTAAATATTTCATTGTTTTTAAATTGGATGAGTCACAAAGACTGATTTACTCTCATCGCTACGTCGTCGTCGTCGTCGACGTTGCTTTAATTATAAACATAAATTGTAATCGAATTGATGCGCGTACAGTATATATTGAACACTGCGATCCATCGTGACGGATAAATCACCTTGGGACCATCCCCCCTGATCGCCTCTCACCCGTCGCCTTGCATATAGACAGTTACTAATGAGCCAACCCCATTTAATTAACCGTATAGGTACCGAAGGGCACCGTGTGCAACTGTCAGCCTATTTCTTGCACACAACCATGTCACAACACACGATATTCATAACAACAGTCTTAATCAAGATAAAGCTCATTTTAATTACTAGTTTCGTTTAGTATACATATATGGTCCTCGTTTTTTTTTTAGAAAAAAAGTCTCTCGCTTAATTGAATAAATACTGTTCAAGTTCATTAAATTAAATAAAAAAAAATAGTAATACTTGAAATATTTTTTAGTTTATCTTTAAATATTAATATTAATATGTTTTAAACTAGAATAATAAAAATTATATTCAATTGCTTATTAAAAAATAAATAATAATAAAATAAAAATAATAATTAATAATTAATTTAATAATAAATAAATATTAATATTTAATTTTTAAGGCTGTAAGAGATGTAAAACATTATCTGTAGCATCAAGAAATAAATTCTATTAATTCTATTAATATTTAATTTAAATAATAAAGAAATATATTTTTTTGATTAAAAAAGTATAAATAAATTTAAATAGAAATGAATAAACAAATGTAAATATAATAAGTAAATACACCAATTCACTGGATGAAAAAACTTTAGACTGAAAAAAAAATTTAAAAATGCTACCACATCGAGGCGCCGTGGCTTAGTTGGTTAAAGCGCCTGTCTAGTAAACAGGAGATCGAGGGTTCGAATCCCTCCGGGGCCTGGCTGATAATGTGTGATTTATCACTTTTTTGTAAATTAACTCAATTTGCTTTTTTTTAAATTTCCCTCTCATTTTTTGCATTAAAGTCTTGTTTCATGTAATTTTGACTCTATATTAATTTTTAAAAAATTCATTGAAGTAGAATCAATAAACTTTTTTATGAATATAAAATATTTATGAATATATAAAACTAATTTATTTTCAATATAAATTAACAATATTTTATGTATTAAAAAATATTTCTAAAATTAAGTTTATTAATAGTTGTATAATTATAATTAACAATTGTTTTTAAACAATTAACATTAACTCAATTGTAACCAAAACTAATTTATTATAATAGCAAATACGAAACTATAATTACTTTTAATTAATAATTGCATTAATTAAAAAATAAATTTAATATTTTATAATATATTCTTCTAACAAATATATTTTATTCGTTCATAAACATGTGTAAATTATAATTAACAGAATTACAATTATAAAAGCAATAATTAATAAAAAAAAACTATCAATGTCTATTAGGATCTATTAATAAGACTTCGCACTCGATAATTAATTTTAAAAAAGTTCTAATTTAAATAATTGAATTTTTGAGAAATTTTTACTATTCATTAAAAGAATTAAATTTTACAAAGAATTCTATTAAAATTTTTGACAATAATTGAATGTCTGTGTAGTATTTTATAAAATTTTTTTGAAAATAAATTGAATTCTTACGAACAATTTTATTTAAATTTTTTAAAATTATTAAATTTCCTAGAAGAAATTTATTACTTTTAAAAATAATTGAATTCTTGCGATGAATATTGTTATTTATGAAAATAATTGAACTTTGCAAAGAATTTTAATAAAATGCCTCAAAATAATAAATTGAATTTTCGACAATAACTTTGTCATTTATTGACATAATTGATTCCTGTTAAAAAATTCTAATTTTTTTTTTTAAATAATTGAATTCTCCCAAAGATTTGAAAAAAACATTTTTTTAAATAATTAATTTTTGCGAAGAATTGAAATTGAATTTTCAAGAATAATTACATTTTTTGAGCAATTCCTGTAAAATTTTATTAAAAATAATTGAAAACCTGCGATGAATTTTATTATTTATAAAAATAATTGAATAGTTGCTAAGATTAAAAAAAAATTTCAATAATAATTGAATTCCTGAGAAGAATTTTATTATTTATGAAAATAATTGAATTATTTTGAGAAATTTTATTATTTATAAAAATAATTGAATTATTTTGAAAAAATTTATAAAAATATTTAAAAAGAATTGAATTTCTGTGAAAATTTTTGTTATTTTTGAAAATAATTGAATTTTGCAATTAAATTTATTAAAATTTTTAAAAGTAATTGAATTCCTGTGATGAATACTATTGTATATGAAAATAATTGAAATGTTGACTACAATTTTTTTAGACTTTTTAAAAATAATTAAATTTTTGCGAAGAATTTTAGTAATTTTAAAAATAATTGAATTCTTGTCATGAATATTGTTATTTTTGAAAATAATTGAATTTTGCAATGAATTTTATTAAAATTCCTAAAAATAATTGAATTTAGTTGAAGAATTTTGGTATTTATTTATAAAGATAATTGAAATGTTGACAACAATTTTTTATACTTGTTTTGAATATAATTCTATTTCTGCGAATAATGTTATTAATTTTAAAAATAATTGAATTTTTGTGATGAATATTGTTATTTTTGAAAATAATTGAATTATTGTGATGAATTGAATAAAAATTTGGTTAAATAATTGATTGTTCTGTAAATCTTTTTGTAAATGCTATTCTTAATTAATTGAATTACTGTGAAAGTTTTGTTATTTATAATATTAAATAATATTATGATTAACATTGTACTTTATATTGTTTATTAACTAAAGTTGCTGAATATTTGAATTTGAATGAACCGCCCGCGTCTCGAGAGCTCGCAAAACGATACATCGATTTAACTCGCCGGGCGAGAATAACACATGCGCTGCTAACTTCATTGTTGTAGTTTTACAGTGGTGATTGATTCTTTCACGCGGCGACAATTTTGATATCTTTTATGATTAAAAAAGTATTGCTTTAAATTACTGACAAAATGAGTTCTTGCACTGATCTTTTAAATTTAAATGAAAAGCTTCTTTTTAAAGAATTAAAGAAGAGTTTGCCAAAAGGTGCAAAGGAAACAAGAAATATTATTGAAATTCGTGATGACATTCTTTATGTATGGAATGCAGACACCTATTCTATTTTAATATTAGATATTGCTGCAACTCGAGAGAAAACAAACGAAGATGTTACATATCAGGTAAATTATTATTTTATTATTCTATAATTTCAATGTGTGCCTATTAATTTGAAACCGAAAAAAGGTTATTGTTTGGGTGAACATGACAACCTAACCTCTATTTTGGAGTATATAAATTTACTATTTTCAGAAAGTTTTTAATAGAAATTTATAAACAATATCAATGGAAATTTACTATTTTTGACAACATTTTTTATTTTTATTGTCTTGAACTACAAAACACTTGATATTTTCTTAAGGTAATTAAACATAACCTATTGGTGGTTGTTTGACGTTAGTTTTACCTGCTTATACACGTGTATATTCAGAATATTCAGTAACGCAAATTTTTAGAATCAAATTGTTAAAAAAGAATTGTTTTTAGTTCAATTTTGGCTAAAGGAACTTAAATTATTCCAAATATTAAGTTAATTTAGACTTGAAGAAATTTATTTGATTCAAAAAATCATTTATTTGTTTAATTATCAAATATTTACTTGAATCAAATAATTTTTATTTAAATCAAATTAATTATATTTGTACCAATAATTTTAGAATTTGAAGCAAATACAAATTAATTGACATAAAAATTATTTGGTACAAATAAATATTTAATATTTATTAATAAATAAATAATATAATATAAAAGTAATTGTTTATTTGAATCAAATAAATTTCTTTGAAGTGCAAGATTAAGAGAATTAAATTTAACACTAAATTTAACAAAGAACGCGTAAAATCAAATTAGATCAGCTTTTTTTAAAAAGTTTAAACAATTTTTTAATAATTAATTAATTTAATTTAATTTTTTAATAATTTTAATTTTTCTTCTCTGAGAAAAGAATAATAATTTGCATCATATTTATACCGAAGTCTCCAAAATTAATAAAAATATATAATTTTTCTAAAAAATGCCAAAACGGGAATTTTTTCACCAAATTAAAAATAGTTTTATAATTTTAATTTGTTTTTAAAAAAGCGCGTTTTATATCAATTTATATAGATATTTATACTATTCTCAAAATTTGAATTAGTTAAAAATAATTAATTAGATAGTAAAAAATCAGTCACTGATTCAAAGATAATACGTAAATCAATTAAAAAAATATTATTGAATTAGTAGAAATTTTGTGAAATTCAACTCAAAAATAATTAAATTTGTTAAAAAATTTAATTAAAAACTTTTTAACAAATCGAATTTTCAAAGTATTTTAATTTAATAATTAATAAATAATTGAATTTTATAAAGAGTCACATTCTAATTTATTCATGTTTCTTAGTGCCAAGATTAATAATTAAAATTTTTATTAGTTAATTTAAAAAAAGATATACACTTAAAATTTTTTTAAAAAATTGAATTTTTGCAAAGTTTTTTTGAAAATTCTGAAAAATAAGATTATTGAAATTTTTCAATTTCATTGTTTCAGGATAATTGAATTTTTATAAACAAATAATTAAAAATTTTTGAAATAATTGAAATTTCTTTATATTCTATTAAAAATAAGGAAATTCTTTTAAAGAATTTTATTTAAATTTTTTGAAAATAATCAAGCGAAGATAGTCACCGTAATTATAATTTTATTTTTAAAAATTTCTTTAAAATATATTCAATTATTTTCATAAATAGTAAAACTCAATCCAGAATTTCAATTATTTTTAATACAATTTTAATCGAATTTTTCGATTCTTAAAAATTTTATAAAAATTCGTCAAAAGAAAAAATTTAATTATTTCTAGAAGTTGTAAAAAAATTTTTCTCAAAATTCAATTATTTTCATAAATTTCCATGAAATTCTGAAAAACAATTCAATTACTATTTTCAAAAGTAATAAAGTTCTTCGCAGAAATTCAATTCTGTTTCAAAATTTTTTTAAATGTTCCTCAAAAAATATCAATTATCTTTCTAAATAATTAAATTCTTCTTCACAATTTAATTATTTTCCAAAATTTTAATAATATTCTACACAAACATTTAATTATTATTAATTATTTATTTATTAAAATTTGTCGAAAGAATTCAATTATTTCTAGAAACAGAAAACAAAATTTGTTAAATTTTTTAAAATAAATTGAATTCTCGCGACGAATTTTATAAAAATTTTTTTAAATATTTAATATGTTTCGAAAAATTCAGAAATTTCTCATGAATTTTAAAGATTCAATTTTTTCCAGTACTTTTAACAAAAATCCCTGACTTTTCCCTGATTTCCCTGACCTGTGGCAACTCTGATTAAGAGTTTAGAAAGAGTAAAGTTGCGTATAAAGGTACATTTACAATAGAGAACTTTTATTCGAATTGTTTACGAGAGAAGTTAAAAATGAGGCAAAATCCTCCCTTATCGAATCAACGGATGAATGGATCTACAATCGTATGGCTAAAACGTAACCTATACACCCCACACGTATCTCTCCCTAGAAAGTGGTTGCGTTCATATATATACACCTATAGGATTGTAGGTAACGCGCAAGGGTCTGAATTTGCATTTTATTCGGACGGTGCGGTCCGCGGGTACGTGCGGACATTTATTTTAATTAAATTACTCCAGAGCGGAGTCGAACAACCCATTTCCTATAAATTATCCCCTCGCACACACTCTTTCTCTGAGTGCGCGCGAGTGCGGCCAGGCATTAATGTACCCACTGATCCCGCTGTGCCATTGAAATTAAATAAAAGCACTGCTTCACAACCCTACCACCACCACCACTACCACCACCATCATCACCATCGAGAAGTGGACACGAAACGTTCGTTCCGTAAACCATTCGCGATTCCGCAGGACCGACGCTTCCCTTTCATTTAACACGTAATCATTTTCCAAGTGCTTCCACAAAACTACCCCCAAACCCCCCTTTCACCCCCTTAGCCCTCTATAATACTCTTCACTCCTACACTCTATTTTCTCCCCCTTGACCGACCTAGATACCCATCGCCACACCGATTAAACCATATCCAGAGTTGAAAAAAAAGAGGGAAGCTCCGATTTCAAGAAATCGAGTATGGGGCATATGAATGAGTAGGTGGCGTATGAATTTTATAAAGTGAGATTGCGCTTTTATTCACTTTAGTTTCAATAAAAAAAAATTGCAGTTTTATTTTTTCTTTTTTAATATCCTTTATACTATTTCAATTGAAAAGAATTTAAATCACCGATGGTTATAAAAAAAAAATTAGTTTTTAAAATGATACATCCTTTTTAAGAATAGGATATTAGTGCGAGCAATCAAATCCTTAATAATTATATTGTAAATAGTCAAAGTGTATTAATTATCCTTTCAAGTAAACTTCAAGCTAATTTTTTAAATTATCCTTAATTTCATATAGACTAACTTACAGTCTCTAATTTACTGTCTCCATTTTTAAATTAAGAAACTCATTTAAGACCTGGAATTAGTTTATTCTTTTGTAAGCGATTTTTATAAATTACAATCTATTACCTATATAATATAAAATTCAAAAAAATTAAAGTCTCTAAAACTATTTACATTAAAACCTAAAGGATTAAAAATAATAAAAACAATTAAATTTAGAAAAGTTACAAATGATTCCAGGAATCTTGACGATTTCTGACGAAAGTCCGTTAGCTCTGGCAGAAGTTTAAATAATAACCAATGGTTGGTTCATGAATTTTTAAAGAACACCATATCGATACTTGAGAATAAATAAAAAAAAAAAAAAAGCAAAGGAAAGAAACTGAAAGGTCCAGTAACGTGCCAGGGCGACTGTAATATCAGTCATAAATAATAAAAGTTAGCGAGGTTCCTCTCTCGCGCTGCGGGACTTTAAACCGGAAGATAGGTGTCGCAGGGTACGGTAGGGGGTCCGCAGGGGTTGGGGGATGCTGGAGACAAAGACGCGCCATTGTCAACCGCTCCGCCATCGGAACCACCATCCGCCGCGGGAAACTTTGAATCATTTTTATTGCATAGAGTTATCTTTGTTACCAACGGTACGAACGTCTAAACGCGTCCTCTCCCACCCCTCTTTGCCCCCCTGTCTCGTTCGCCAGCCTTCTCTCTCGCCACTTCGCTCTTTTCTGCGTTTATTGTCAACTTCGCTCTTCCTACCACCCTCTTGTTCTCCATCACCTCCCTCTTCACCTTCCTTCACCCTTCACCCTTCCTCCTCTCTTTTCCCTTCCTCCACCTCTCTCTCTCTCTCTCTTTCTCTCACTACACTGTTAGATAATACGAACTCGAAAGCATTCACACTGCTTTGACTGCCCAAATGGAATAAGTTCTTTAATTCGCGAATTTACCGTTCTCGAAGCGAGCCAACAAACCTTCTAGGTTATCACCAAGATTCCGGTCCACGTTGTCCAAACATGAAAGATTATCTTCAACCTTTCTCACTTGTTCTTTGAAAGTACGGTGTTGAACAAAAAATTTTTATCCCAAAAGTTTGTAACATGTATATATAATCGCAAAGATCTCCTTACTCGGTATTTTAAGTTTTCAATTTTTATTCACAATTAAAAAAAAATTGTCTTCGTGTTTGTAAAAGGATCGTCCAAAAGCTATATGTAGGATTTCAAGCAGTCAGGGTTCGAACTAGGTTCGTAAACCACGTAAAGATCTGTAAATTTGCTTGAAGTCTGTAAAAGTCAGTTTTTTTGAAAAAAGGTTCGTAATTTAATTGAGAAAAGATGAAAAGTACGTAAATTGTACGATATAATTTGGAGAATTTTAGAGAAATTATATAAATGATTGCAGAAATTCAATTATTTTCGAAAGTAATAAAATTCTTTGCAGCAATTCAAGTTTGTTCAAAAATTTTTTTAAATTCTCGTCTAAATTTCAATTATTTTTAAAAGTAATTAAATTCTTCTCCGAAATTCAATTATAAATTATGATAAAGTTCTTTTCAGAATTTTCAAAATTTATTTGTTTACAAATTCAGTTTTACGAAATTCTGATTATTCGAAAATTCTTCAATTAAATATACATTAGAAAATAAAATCTTAAAATAATTTTTAAGAATGAAAAAAATTCAATTATTATCTAAAATTTTAACTGAAATTCAT